TAATAAAATCATTATTGCGGTACTTCAATTCGCAATGCTGTAACGACGATACATTAGAAGTTTTACAGTAAAATAATTTAAATCAAGCCTTTTGTGAGTGATTTCAGTCGGTTAGAGACTAATAATTATAACAGCTTATTCGATCTAAGCTTTTAGGTTTCGTCATCTAGTTGCAAATTATTTGTGAACATGGTACTGTATGTTAACTTTATTTTCACGAGTGCAATGGAATTGTGATTACATTCATATGATGCATTAAAAAATGATACTATTATGATATGCATGAATATATTTACGATTCTTTCTCTTAAAAAGACGGTAAACCTTGCAATTATTGTATTATAAGCTGAAAGATGTTATAATGGTTATAGCATCTGGATTTGGAATAGTGCTAGCGATAATTCTACTACGATTTAATATATCTTACAGAGAAGATAGGTAATTTAAACAAAGATTTATAGATAACTTTCGCATTTTAAATACTTCTACATGGTGGCCAAGAGAGTAATATTCTTTTTTATGTCAAGAATGTAATATACAGCTTTCCAAAAATTTATCTGATTTAAATTTTAACGGAAATTATTTATAAAACTTTCTCGATTCAATGATCCCTTCCAATTCAAGAGCAATAAAAATCACCAGTCCTAATATAAACATTGCCATTATTTGTGGCGCAATATTATGTTATATATCGGTACAATTTCTTGGCTTGGATAGTAATATACTTGGCATCAGTACTTATGGAATGTATGCACATTCATTGGTTTGCAGGGTCAGAGAAGTATCTTACTTGAATATAAAATTTGAAATTATTGATTAATTTTAAACTTACATTGTAACTTATTTTACAACTTGTGAATACATGGCCTTGAATTATTATGTAAACCTGTGCTGTTCGAAGTATATCATCAATTATGTATTTTTTACGTAGATCAGAGTATGGCTACTGTTGTTAGGATTTATGATGGGCTTTACTGCCCTCTTTATAAAAACTTGGCGTTTATATGTCATCTTTACTAATAAAACCAGCCGAAAGCAGGTACAGTCACACGAATGTGTTTAGTTCAGCTAGCCGAAATTTTGCTTTTAGATTCCTATCTATAGAGTATTGCGATCTTCTGTAATATTTAGCGAGGCAACTATTAGTGGGTTATTAAAATTTATTTTCATAATGGCACCAGCCATATAACTAATAACGATTGATATTGGTGGCAGGGAATGAAAGACAAGCAATTATCTAGATTTATAATTATAGCCGTACTTGTGGAATTATCATCTA